ACTTTCCCATCAGTTACAAACGGCCCTTTTCCATAGTAACTATGGCCAAAGTGGGTTAGTCACTGGGATCAGGGCTTTTTTGCAGCATTTCCTGGGGAGTTTTCCTTGTTTAGCTGAAGAGGATTGTAGTGACAACCGTGGTCAGCAGGACTGGGAGGGAGGGAGGCTGTTACTGCTCCAGGGGATGAGCTGAGAAGCAGCCTGTCTAGAGAAAGAAGAGATTCTTTTAGAACCTGGAGTGAGTGGGGCTGTGGCACGTGGCTGCCTTCAGCTTTGTGTGACCACTTGGCAGCCAGTCAGCTCATCTATTCCCAGGCAAATGGAACTGCTAAAAATAAGCAGGCAGCAATTTCATTCCAGCAGCCACATCTCCTCACCAGCCGAGGGCTGCTGCGCTGGCTCCCTCCTCCTGAGAGGCTTTTCCCTGACGGCATGCCTGCCTTTTGTGTCCAGGTCTGCAGGGCAGGGATGGAGGCCCTGGGAGAGGAAACAGCCTGCCTTCATGTGTGAAGGCTTTGACCCACAGGACTAAATGCCTCTGAATAATGTCTTCAACTACAAACAAACAGAAACCCCTTAAGAATTTGGGGGAGAGAGTGGCAATAAAGGAAGGGGTGCAGAGCCCTGTGGGACTGGAAGTGCCACTCAGGGTGGGTGTGAAGGAACTCCACTAGAACTCTTTTTTTTTTAAATTTTATTATTTTTGTGTGAGTGTACCATCAAATCAGATCTGACTGGTACAGGAGGAGACTGCCCCTCCTTCCCCGGCAGAGCATCTGGTGGATTTGAACCATGCGCCTCTGGGATTGTAGTTGTAGCTCCTTGCCACTAGGCCACCAGAGCTCCCCTTCCACTAGAACTCTTAGGAAAGGTTAGTCACCCTGCTAACCAAGAGGCTAGATGTGGCCAGTAGTTCAGATCCGCCAGTGGGTCTTAGGAGAGACAGCCCGTCTTCTCCCCTTAAGATTTGTCATTGCTTTTGTCATTGCTGGATGACTTTCCAGCAGGTTTTTAGGGGCAGTAAATTGCACAAGAGATTTCCCATCTTTCCCTATGGAGCACTTGGTGGATTTGAACTGTGTGCCTTCGGGCTGGCAGCGTAGTTCCTTAACACTAGTGCTCCCTTAAGATTTATAGTCTCTGAAACCCTGTGGAGGGTCACTCAGAGCTGGAATTGACTTGAGTCAGTGAGTTTAGTTTTTTGGTGAGTGTGTCTTCACTGCCTTTTCTAGATTTATCAGAGAAAGTGGGGTTTTTTATGGATCGCTAAAGTCTTTATTTCTGAATATTCCTAAAAAGCCTGCAGTGTAGAACTGTGAAGGAGTAGGAGTGAAGAAGTGAGGTCCTAACCACTCCCTTGACTAGGGGAAGGTGGAGGTGTCTGTCACCCCTGGGTGCTCTGAAGCTCAGGTGTGTCGCAGCCAAGACCTTTGGGCAAGATGACTGCTGATGCCAAGGATTCTTCTTGGCTCTGATTTTGGTGAAACATGGCTCATAGGGGATGGCCATGCCTTCCCTGACTATCTGAGGATCTCGGTCCTCTTTCATGTGCTGTTCGAGCTGCTGGGTCAGGTAGACCTGGTTCTTGGAAGCAGTCATGGAGAGAAGGGCTTTGTTCAGAGTCACTCACCAAGCACAAGTGGGAAGTTCCTGGTTCCTCATCATTTGGCCTCTTTGTCTCTAGTTGAGGCTAGGAGTGGGGGGTGGGGAGTTAACGTTACCGGATGCATTCAAGGGGGCCCTCAAAGGACAACAGGAGGGGGTATCTGCTTGGAAATGGTACAGTTGGGCTGAGGAGGCACCACTGTGGATGGGGGGACTAGGTACCTCAAGGCTCAATCTCTAGGGGCCTATCCAGGCTCGGAGTATTGGGCTGGTACATGGAGTCTCACCAGCCAGATATTGGTGTCCAGTGAGCTGCAGGGCAGTGGTCCTTCAGGACAGCAGCCTACAGGCCTGTATTGTAGGTACAGGTGGCTGGTTCTTTGCATTCTTTGTGAATGAACTTGAGAGCCAAGCAGATGACAGTGTGGGAAGGCCAGTGACATAGTGGGGCTTGAGACTGTGTTGTGATGTGAAGTGCCTGGCTTACACGTCAACACCAAGTCACAATGCATGGTGGAGCATTATTGCACTGTAGTTGATTCGAGAGGGACTGAGGCAGTCTAGTGTTAGTGTCAAATGGGCAAACTCTCAACCTGGACAATCAAGACCTTCCTTTTTAGCTTTGAAAGGGCAAAAACCTCTTGGAGCTCTTTAGAGAGGCTGTTTGTAACTATCTCCCTCTGTCCCTTGAGTTTAGGGCATGTCACTGTTGGTGTGTCGAATAGAAAGGTGTCCTTTTGTGTGATTCTTTTACTTCCTCTCTGCTTCATTATTTTCCTTTCTTAAATAACAGCATTTGCCATTTCAGCGTCTTTTACATGTATAATTCAGTGACATGGAGCCCATCATGCTGTGTAACAGTTTATCCGTTTCCACATGTCCCAGCACCCACGACGGTATAGTGCACTCTAAGCAGTGAGACTTCCCTCTCCTGTTTCCTACCATGATACCTATTTTCTTTTTTAAAAAAATTTATTCTTTTTCTGTGTGTACTGTCAAATCAGATCTGACTGGTACAGGAGGAGATTGTCCCTCATTCTCCAGCAGAGCATCTGGTGGATTCGAACTGAGCACCTGTGGGATTGCAGTGCAGCTTCTTGCCACTAGGCCACCAGAGCTCGCTTAGCAATGATAACTTCTAATAAACTTTGGTCTTTATACTTTTACTGAGACATTCTATATAAATGAGTTTATACAACTTTTATATGATGCATTTCTTTCAACATGTTTTTAGGGTTTGTTCATATTGTAACACGTGGCAGGACTTGGTTCCTCTTTTTAGCAGAGTGATACTCCATCATATGCACATGGAATATTTTGTTTATCCTTTCATGCATAGATCGTTGTTGTTCTCTTGAGTCGGAACCAGCTTGTAGCTGCCCCTCCAGTGGATTTTCAGAGGCTGCAAATCGTGTGGGATTTACATCTTTCTCCTGCAGAGCGGCTGGTGGATTTGAATGGCGTTCCTTTTTGAAAGCGCAGTTCCTCACCACTAGGTTGCCAGCGCTCCCTTTTATTCAGACATTTATAAGGGGCGCCGTGGCATAGTCCGTATCATGTCCTATTGCTAACCATGGAGGGACATTTAGGATTTCTGTCATTGGCTTTCGTGAATAGTGCTGCCATGAACATTGGTGTACATATGCCAGCTTGGATCCCTTTTTTTTAGATAAACTTAGGAATGGAATTGCAGAGGAGAAGGTGACCTTCAATAAGATGGATTGACATAGTGATTACCATAATGAGCTTGAGCAGGATAGATATCATGGGGATGGTCCAAGATAGGGCCGATTCCGATCTGTTGTTCATAGGGTACTGTGTATGAGTCATAGTCACTCAACTCCGATGGCATCTAAAAACAACAGCGACATGTCTTAGGCTGAGTTCTTTAGAGGAGCAAAATCATGGTGAAGTGCTCCGCCACGAACCACAAAGTCAGTGGTTTGAGCCTGGTGCCTGCTATGCAGGAGAAGCTGTGGCAGTTGGCTTCCCTAAAGAATAACTCAAACCCACTGCTGTTGATTTTTTTAACTCTTGGGTTTAAATCACTGTGGCTGTAAATCATGATGGAAGGAGACTACCTATCTTTCTCCCTTGAAACCCCTGGTAAATTCAAACCATGGCATTGCTCAGCCTTTGGTTAAGTGGTGCAACTCATTATAAACCATACTACCAGAGCTTGGAAACCCGGTGGGGAGTTCTGCTTTGCCCTATAGGATGGCGGTGAGTTGGAATTGACTCGAAGGAAGTGGTTGTGGGTGTCGTAGTAAGACTGGATTTCCTGACAGTGAGCTATTGCCGCCCTATTCTAAGAGCTCCTTTCCCTTCAATCTTTTTCCTTTCTCAGATATTTCTTTTGGTATCAAAGACAGAGTACAAAGGAAATGTTCTGTGATCTGCCAGTTTTTTTTGGAAGCTGTTATAGAATGACCCCCAAACCAGATCCATGTGTCAGTGATGGGTTTGAACCACTGACCTTTGGGTTAGGAGCCAAGCACTTAGCCACTGCATCACCAGGCCTCTTTTGTTGCAGAAAAGTTAACAGATTTGAATGTACATTGATATCTGGTTAAAAGCAAACAAACCTTTACCTGTGTGCACCTCAGAGTCTGATGTTCTGGAGTGCACACTGGGTATTGAGCTTTTTTAAAGTTTCCAAAGTGACTTCTAAGCACAGCCACCTTGAACTGCTATTGTAGAAGCGCAGAATTTCTGTTTGCAAATAGCAAATTCAAAATTGTTAGAACTGATGAATTCTGCAAAGTTCACGGATCTAAGATCCATTTCTTAAACCCTCCTTCCCCCCAATTGGGAATGACCTGGTGTGTGTTCTGTCATTGAAAAGATGTTTCTGTGCCATCAGACCGATGAAAACAATCCTGAAATTCTAGGGAATGAAACATATTTATGATATTCTCTTTGCAGAGAATGCAGGGAGAATTTGACATCATGCAACAACGAAGGAAAGGATTTGGGCTCAAGACAGTGCTCACTCAGTTTGCTTCAGAGGAGTGTACATGAATGAGTTGTGCTGCCAACCCAAAGGCAGTGGTTCAAGTTCACCAGCTGCTCCGTGGGAGAAAGATGGGCAGGCTCCTCCTAGGGCATTTACTGCCCCTGAAAATCCACTGGAGGGTCAGCTATGAGTTGGTTCCCAATTGATGGTACCTAACAATAGCAAGGGGAAGGGCGTTTCTTCCCATCCAGCCACCCACTTCCAATCCGAGATATAAGACCTGACCCACGAGGGATAGGAAAGGGCCAGTGGACAGCTCTGATCCAGAGCCTTTGTTCCACCTCCTGTACGCCACATTGATGTCTTCTTTCATGCCACTCATTTCATTCCCCCTCTCCCTCTCTTCTCTCTTCAGGTATAATTGCTTCCAGCCTCTGGGATGGCAATCCAGTTCCGTTCCCTCTTCCCGTTGGCACTGCCTGGGATGCTGGCACTCCTTGGCTGGTGGTGGTTTTTCTCTCGTAAAAAAGAACCCATCAGCAAGCAGGACAAGCAGGTGGAGGCCATTGCTGTGGAACTGAGGAGAGATCCTGCCACTGAGGAACCACCGGTGCTGGAAGACACCTGTCCCAGAGTTGTGTCAACACCCCTCAGTGTCACACAGCTGCCAGAAAAGGAACTGTCTGCCACAAGTAAGCCTTCTGTAGAGCCCCCAGCTTTGCTACGGGCACACCCAACCCTTCGGAAGTCAGAGTCCTCAGGGAGCCTTAACACTACAGACACAAGATTTCGACCCGGAACCCGCAAAGATGACAGTGCAAAGCTGGAATTGCCCCTAACTTGTGATGAAGCAAAGTCCATTCCCCTTGAGCATCCGCTTTTATCACCGAAGGGGGAACCATTCCCCCATGACGCGATTGAGGGGTGCAAGCAAGAGCCCATGTTCAGTAGGACGCCAGGGAAGGCCTGGCCCGGCCAGCCAGCAGCCCTTGCAGAGAAGTGGGGCCCTGGGGAGAAAGCAAAGGAGTTAGGGCACACAGAAGGAACCGGGGATGCGGTGCTGGGAGAAAGTGTGCTGGAGGAAGCGGTGTTGTCTCAGGAGCACGGTTCTGAGCTGGAAAATGGCAAAGCGGCCAGCCTGGCCCCTCGGCAGCTAGGCGAGGAGAAAGGGAAGCCCAGCCCGCCACAGGGGCCTGGGCTGGTGCAGGAGGAGGACTCTGTGGTGGAGGAATTGGTGCACACTGAGCTGGTGAAGGATGAGGAAGTGCCAGTCCCTGGAGTCAGAGATGACCAGCCCCGAGATGAAGACCAGGCAGGAGAAGCGATCAAAGAGGAGATGGCAGATACAAATGAGAAGTTGGAACAAGCTGCCTTCCAGATCATCTCCAAGGTGATCTTGGAAGCAGCCGAAGCAATGCAGGCCACCAGAGGGGGTGAGATTACAGGTGGAGTGCATCCAGCCTCAGACAATGAGCTCCAAGGGCCTGAAGAGGAGAGAGGTGCTCCTGTCAGCCAGGAAGCTGTCCTGGAGCAAGGTGCTGCAGCGCCCACTCTGGCCATAGCAGAGGTGCCTGCGGCCATGTTACCTACAGCCCTGTCCTTGTCAGACCCACTGGCAGAGGACCCATGCCGTCCAAAAACCTACGTGAGCTGCTTGAACAGATCTCTCTCTAGCCCCACCAAGGACAGCAAGCCACCCCGGAACTCTGCATACCACATCTCGATGACCTCCTGCCCCTCACAGGCTGCCCCACCTGGGGAGCCTCCAGACAACACAAACGTCCTAGTGGAAGATGCAGGCTGCGTCACCTGCACGTCGGGTGGCAACCAGGATGCTCCCTCTGTGGGCTCCTCAGGCCGGTGCTCGGATTCCACCAGCACATCTGGCATCGAAGACTGTTGCACAGACACTAACTCCAGCCCCAGGGACAAGAGCATCACCCCACCACTGCCAGAAAGTACTGTGCCCTTCAGCAATGGGGTGCTGAAGGAGGAATTGTCAGATTTGGGGGCTGAGGATGGATGGAGCGTGGACGCAGAAACAGACCATTCGGGAGGTAGGAGGGTCTTGGGTATTCCCACAGAGAGGAATGGGGTGGGACTCCCTCTGTTCACTGGGCTGCTGGCATACCTCTCCCTCTCTGGTTTCTGTAGCAAATGAATGATACTTTTCTATTCTGTACCCATACCATCTGCATAGGCTGAGTTGGTGGGTACCCTGAAACTCCAAAGCCATGGGAGCTATAACTTGATACTGTATCCAGTGACCCTTCCCAACCCCTCTGAAAGGACCAGCTCAAAGTTGGAGTCACAGATTTGCATAGGCATGCCTCTTTGCCTCTTGTATGCTGACCTCTTAATGGCTTTCTAGTGGAAAGGCATCCATAGCTTTATTGCCCTTGAGTGTCAAATCTGTGGGTATGAGGTTTTCTTAATGACCTGTTTCTTTTTAATCATGTTCTTGTTCCCACATCTTCACCTGCTTCCCTTCTCCAGAAGCTCTTTCAGGGTAAGTGCCCAAAGAATGGCTGCAGTTTTGAATACTCATGGGAGGCTCGAGCTTTCCTGAGTTGTTGCTAGCAGCTCTTCCTCCACAGAGAGCCTCAGCCGTGTTCTTTCTATGCATTTGCAGTTCCACCCCGGGAAAGAGGGACACTGTGGTCACCAAGTGTCCGCTGGGTTTTTGGAGTGCTGAGCCCAATGTAGACAGTTCAGGCTGCTAAGTTCCAGGTCAGCAGCTCCTGACCCTGCCTTTGCAGCTACCCCGGGGTAGTTTTCTTTATCTCATGGAAAGGTGCCACACTTTGGTGGCATGGGTCTGACTTGTCTGCCCTGGAACCCTTTCCACCACTGCAGCCTCAGGAAGGTGGGGAACCTTTCCGGGGACCCTGCGTAGAGCAGCATCTGTTGTGTACCATAGCCTATGCCGCACCACATCTAATGTGACTGTCTGTGCACCTCTAAAAGAAAATGCTGCCAGTTATGATTGTAACATGCCAGAGACCTTTTATAAAAGATGCATCTTAATGTCAAGAATGTTAAAATGTTTTGGTTGTCTTTTTTTTTTTTTAAGGCATCTTAAAATGGATGAATTAAAAGAAAACAAAACCCCAAAATAGCAAACCAAAGGTATTTCCCTTTAGCTACTGTCCCTGAGCTTAGTATGTCCCGCAGCCTTCTCACGCCAATTCTAGACTGATAGTGTAGTAGCTGCTCACATGTGTTGAAAGCCGTTGAGATGAGGCTTAGCAGAAGGGCAGGCTACATCTGAGCTGTGGAGACAGTATGGTGTGGTATAGGGTGGCAGATAGAATCCTGATAAAAGTGTCTATGGAGTTGTCAGCGTGTCCCAGGCGCCAGGCTCCTACCTTCCATGCCTTCTCACATTATCCCTGCTTTGTGCCTGGGAGGATGATTCTAAGAGGGGCCCAAGGGCTGCCAGGCTGAGGGAGCTGGAAACTGGCTCTGGACGCAGCCTGCTATTGGTCTTCTGAGAGTTCTTGGCCATTTGTGCCAGGCAAAGGCTGAGGGCTCATGCGAGTGGAGCCCCCCTCTCCGTCTCCTTCTGCATCTAGCAGCCGTCTCTCTAGGGCACTTCCCTGCTGTAAAGCCTTCTGAGTCCCTGGTGTGGAGAGAGGGGTGAAGTTGAAAGGGACTCTTCCTCGCTGAGAGCGGAGTCTTTTAAGCTCTAGTCCTTTGTGCTCCGAGAGATCATTAACCGCTTAGCAAAAGGTTATACCCGAGTTTTGGATAACCTAATTAGTGGAGTCTTGGTAATGGTCCATTTCTGACTCTTGAGTTCACCATATGGGAGCCTACGCTGCTGCTGTAAGCTGGTCTGGACCCCAGCTTTTTGTGCCATGGCCTCAGGACTTGATCTTGAGCAAGAGCTTCAGCAGGAACAACCCAGCTCAGCACAGTCTTGTCTGCACAGCTGCCCCCTTCTGAATGCACTTTAGTTCTGTCTGTTGACCGTGGTGTCAGAGACCAGCCTGGAGTCCAGACAAGCATTTAGCAGTGCCTAAGTCAGATCTAAGCAGAGGGAGCAGAGGCCCTCCTTCCCTTTGTCCACTGCCGATGGACAGCTGGGCCTGGTCAGGGTGAGGTGCATTCTCAGGCTGCCAGTGAGGCAGAGCCTCTGAGCTCAGGCATGGGGTCTGTGACTGGGGTTATTGGGAGAATGTCCAGGCAGTTGTGACGAGCAGCCTGAATCACATACCTGGCTGCTGGAGCCATGTAGGCCTGTCATTGCTCGTCCCCCCTCTCCTGCTCCTGGGGCTCTCCTTCCCTGGGCACAGAGTTCACCACTTGTTTCTACTCTAGCAGCTGTGACTGGGTGTGGCTACCAATTAACAAGTAGGACTGTAAGTGACAGGCTAAAAGTAGGTGTAGCTACACCCCCGGTCCTCCTTTCATTGGGGTTGTTCTGATCTTTCTAGACTGTGAGTTGGCAGTTACCTGCCAAGCTTGAGAAAGGGGGTGTGGGGCAAGGGCTTCCCAGGAATTTAAGTTTTGGAAGGTCCTCGGTGTTGGCTGCTCTGAGCCGGTGCTGGTGTGTGTGCCGTGCCTCTTCCTCCCCAACAGGTTCTGACGGAAACAGCATGGACTCCGTGGATAGTGGCTGCAACCTTAGCAAGACCGAAGGCTTCCAGAGTGCCCAGGCAGGGTCTGACCCTAAGAAGGTCGACCTCATCATCTGGGAGATTGAAGTGCCAAAGGTAAAGGCTCCCAGCATCCCTACCGGCCAAGTGCTACGTCTCGAGATTCCAAGTTCCTGCTGGCTTGGGGCCTGCAGACTGAAAGAGGGGAGGCGAGGGTAGACCAAAACCAGAAGCAGCCCCGGAGTGACCTTTCACCAAGGTTCTGAGAGCTTCCTGCAAATGGAATTCCTCCAGCTGCCTGTGGGAGTGTCTTATTCATGTCCTTCTCAAACTCACAGGCCTGCTTGTCTCCCATGGACTTGGCTTGAGCATGCCAGAGCCCCGCTCTGCTGGGTGTTTGAAAATGCTAGCAAGAAACCAGAGCAAGGGCCTGGGGCAGCTAGAGAACCTTTCCCCCTGCTTTCATTCGGGCCTGTGCTGTGGTGGCTCACATACTCAAACGCAGAGCGTACTTTATAATTGAGAAAAGCACAAAAACATGTTTTAAAGAACTTAAAGTATAGAAATGGATGAAGGGAATGAAAACTAGCTCCAATCCCACCCCTGAGAGTGGCTGTAAAGACTTTTATTTCCTTCTCGAATTGCACCCTGTGGTTCTTAAACAAAACTGAGCTTATGTCACTTTAATGAATGCTTTTAAATATTTAACAATTTAATTTTCCTGTGTTATTCTTTGAAAATGTAATTTGAACTGCATTATTCATTGTATGCATGTCAATTTTCCTCACCAATCCCCAATTCCAGGGTGCTTAAGTGGTTTCTAGCATTTTACTGTTATAATTTACAATTTATTAGTTTGATCTTTAGGTTTGTCTCTGGGGCTCAGAAATAATTGGCAGGCTGCGCTCTCCTGGGGTGCTCAGCCCCTGTGGAGGGGGGACGTGGCTTGGTCTGAACTCCAGGCCAGGCAGGCTGTTTTAGCCCCAGGTTGCGCTCTCTTTGGCTTTGTCCTCCTCAGTGGCTCTGTTAGCGGTCCTGCCCTTCTGTGGTTGTGGGGCAGACTCTAGGGGAAGAAAGACTCCATGTCCCTAGGATCTTGTTTGGGGCTGGGGATCATTTGGGATTGCTTCGGAGCTTGTCTTACATCATGACTAAGTTTGGCTGCTTCTCACGGCCTTGAACTCTGGCACACTGGGCATTTCTCTGTGCCTCTATCTTGATTTGCTGAAGGCTCTAGCTTGCCAGTAAGGTGGCAGCAGGAGCCTAGAAGTTCTTAACTCTTTATTTTTAAATGCAGTTTCTGGATCTTTGGAAGGAGCCCTGGTGGCTCAGTGCTTAAAGCAGTCTTGTTATGTGCCATCGAGTCGCTTGCGACCCTATGTACAAGAGCTCTAACCGCCACTCTATCCTGTTCCAACCTCACTGTCTCAAATACACTCATTCCCATCACTTCAATCACAGAATCGATCCATCTCATCGAGGGTCTTGGTTCAAACCCACAAGGCACTCTGGGAGAAAAAGATGTGGCAGCTGTTTCCATAAAGCACACACCCTAAAAACCCCAATGGGCAGTTCTCTTCTGCCTTTGAGATTCACTGCGAGTCAGAATGAACTTGACCACGTTGGGATTTGATTTTTCTCTGAACCTGGGAGGACCAGGGGAAGTTTCGTAGAGTAGACTTAGGAGTTCATGCTGCTCTTGCAGCTTTCTGAGGCTGGATTGGAACTGCTGTAGCTAGCCAGCCACATTCTCATGATGAGTTGCTGTGGGTCTTGTTTCACAGATAAAACATTTACTATGAGTAAATGCAAAGTCTGAATGGTGCAAAGGATTAATGTACTCAGCTGCTAATTGAAGGATTAGAGAATCAAGTCCAACTGGAAGTACCTCAGAAGAAAGGCCTGGTGATCTGTTTTTCAAAAATTAGCTACTGAGAACCCTGCAGAATGCAGTTCTACGTCAACACACATGCTTTAGTTAGAAACTCTGCTGGTGTGTTGTGTTATTACATGTAACTGTTTAGAATAGCACCTGGGAGATATGTGCTGAAATGTTAATAATATGTCTCATCTTTGTCTTGTTTAAAACAAAGCTAGATTTTTAGAATGTGGAGAATTAACTTCCTGTTAACTTTTTTTTCTTTCCTGAAGCATTTAGTGGGCCGGCTAATAGGCAAACAGGGGCGATATGTGAGTTTTCTGAAGCAGACATCTGGTGCCAAGATCTACATTTCAACTCTGCCCTACACTCAGAACATCCAGATCTGCCACATAGAAGGTCAGTGCCCTCTGATGACCTGCTTCCCTGGTGAAGCTCTCATTTTCTTAACTGAAAGGCACATAAACAGAACATTTGAGTGCCGTGTGCTCCTCTGTGGAGTCCAAGCCTCTGAGCCTAAAGCTTTGCTTCTCATTCCAGCCGAAGGGGGACTTGGTTGTGGCCCTTGAGCTCTCTTTACCATTCTTTTGCTTGAAGGAGACTCAGGTCTCTTTTCCACAGATCTGCTGGAGAGAAACAGGTTTGGATAGGTGGGGCTAGGGTCCTGGATTTACAATGCCAGTCAGCCAACATGAGCCCTTCACAGACCCGAACCACTGTACCTGTGAGTCCTCTAGTCAACAAGGACTTTCCCCACCAACTTGCCTTATGCATTCAAACCACTGATCCTTTAGAAAGGCGACCAGAGGTCAAGTCTATTTAGATGCTTTTTAAAAATATCAGAGTTCAAGGGAGCTCTGGTGGCCTACTGGCAGGAAGCTCCACTGCAATCCCAGAGATATGCAGTTCGAATCCACCATATGCTTTGTTGGAGAAAGAGGGGCCATCTCCTCCTTTACCAGTCAGATCTGATTTGATGGTACATGCACACAAAATAGTAAAATAGAAATGTCAGAGTTCAAGTTTTGGCCCCTCAGAGCAGTTCTTGGACACTAGGAGGGGTTCAGTGGGGTAGAGGATGCATGTGCTTTTGTTCTGCAGTGATGTTTTGTACTGACTATTTGCAATGCCTCCATCCGCATTTAGGCTCTCAGCATCATGTGGACAAAGCGCTGAACTTGATTGGGAAGAAGTTCAAAGAACTGAACCTCACTAATATCTACGCTCCTCCACTGCCTTCACTGGCGCTGCCTTCTCTACCGATGACCTCCTGGGTGAGCACACACCTTCCTAGTCTCGCCAGGGCTTCTTATGCCCCTGTCCCCCAGACCAACCCCAGCGAGAGACTCCCGAGACCATGGGCAAAGAAACTAACAGCACGCTCATGTCGTGCTCTCAGGCCTCCTGGTCCTGGTCCTGCTGCCAGCTTGTGCTGTGGATCCGGGATGCAATGCGTGCTCAGCAGGGAGCCCCTGGGTCTCTTTGACAGGACCACTTTCCCCACCTCTGCTGTGTTTTCAGTGATTCTATTCCAGCCGGGAGATGATGTGTTTAGATTGACTTGTGGTTTGTGCAGGGTCCCCATCCTGATGGAACCTGTCATCCTGAAGTTGGATGAGGACTCAGTCAAGTCACACTAAGGAGTGGGCCTGATGAAGGACCCCCTTCTTCCCTCTCCCCAGGAAAGGACCTGTATCGTAGAGAAGCTCAGGAAGCAGGGTGGCTCTTTGGAGGCTGTAGGGAGTGGGGGGTCAACAGGAAAAGGTGCTGGCATCTTGAGCGTTCTGGTAGCTGCAGGACTTTGGATCCTTTGATTCTGTGGTGGAATGAGATCAGGGAGGCTCTGCGGGCCAAAGACCTCTGCACTGCACACCAGCGGGCTGAACTGGGGTCTTGTAGGAGAGCTTTAGGTTCTGCATTCTCCCACCCCCAGAGAAGGGTCCTTCTGTCCTGAGGGATGGAGATAGAATGCCCTCTTCCTTATGGATATTTGGGAGTGGACTGAACCCAGTTGTATCCTCACTCTTAAAGTTGTGTAGAATTTTGTTTTCCCAGGAACTTTGGTTCTAGTTCTACTTTATTTTTTTTAAAAAAAGTGAGTGGCCTGTACGGGTTTCCTTCTGTGCTCAGCTCAGTGGGACCGGAGAGGGAAAACCAGGATACTTTTCAACCAGCAGTGCTGGGAGGCTATGCGATTGCCTAGGACTCTGAGTAGGAGCGTCTCTCTTCGTGGCCACTGGCTGGGAAGTGGATTGATGCCCTGCCCTCTCCGGAGCTCCTAGGTATTGCTGGTTGCTCAGCTTTGGGAAAGCTGGAGTCTTAAGAAATCTTTATAGAGAGTAATTTCCGCTTCTTCTCAGGACCCTACAACACAGGGTCCAGCCACTGAGCATGTTTCAAATCCTAAAGGACCAGTGAGTCGAGACTGTCTGGAGCACAGAGATGAGGAACCAGGCCTTGGAGGGTGGAGGAAAGTAAAATGAAGGCAGGCCACTGTCAGGAAGGCAGAGGAGAGAGATACTTTAAGTTCATCAGTTCCTGGGCTCAGCTGTCCTATTCTGTGCCACCTTGTTCTCAATGACCATTTCATTCATGTTTGCTTCCCTGGGTCTTACAGACTCATCAGGAGAGGTGGGAGGGAGGGGCAGCTCTGGATGGACTCTGGCCAGGTCAGTATGCGGCCCAGCACTGCTTCCACCCTTGGCTTCTGAGTGTCCGGCATCTGCTGAGAGCCACCCTGTCCTACCCTGAGGTGAGGGTGCCCCTGATGGATTATTCATGGCATTACACGATAAGGACCACAGTGGTGTCAAGCCCTTCTCATGGTGAAAGTCTTTGAACCTTTTCTCACCTGGGTGTTTCTCGGTTGCTATGTCTTTTTGAAGATATAAAAGCTCAGAGACTTGCCTGGAGCCCCAGGGCTTATCCAAACCCCTGGACGAGAATGATTGTCACAGTGACCACTGCATCTTCCCTTTGACAGCTCATGCTTCCCAACGGCATCACTGTGGAGGTGATCGTGGTTAACCAGGTTAACGCAGGGCACCTGTTTGTGCAGCAGCACACGCATCCTACCTTCCATGCCCTGCGCAGTCTGGACCAGCAGATGTACCTCTGCTACTCTCAGCCCGGGATCCCCACCTTACCCACCCCTGTAGAAAGTAAGTGCTCCTTGGGGGATGGATAGAGGGCTGTGGGGAAGCCCTGGGACCTGGCCAGACTTGTGGAGAAGCTTTGGGAGTTGCCTGTTCTGCCCTCGAACCTGACCAGGGGAGACTTTTCTGGATCCTTGTGGGCAGCCTTCTCTGAGTCTTCCCATCAACATAGTCAGGCCAGGATAGGTTTCCTGGCTTGCTTACCAAAGCTGTTTTTAGTAGTTTAGGATGATGATGAAATTGGAATGAAGTCTGGGCATTCGAAATCAGAAACCAGCACACTCATTTATTCACTCCCACAGGTTGCATGAGGTTGAATGAAGGTAGAAAGCTGTACGTATTACGTGTAAGGCGTCTCAGGCACACACTGGTTACCACAGCCGCTGAGCTGTGGGCCAGGTCATCTCCATTTGACAGTTGAGGAAACGGAGCCTCTGAAGCCTGACGCCACCTTCGCAGGTTCTTTGATGCAAAGCCACGTTAAAGCTAGAGCCCGTCTTTGGCTGCTTTGTATCTCTGTTGCACTTGGGATTAGGGATCCAGTGTTTGGCTGTCTTTCCACCCAGCCACCCCCATCAGAGGTCTTGGCTTCCTCTTCTCACCCAGGCCTCATGGTGAGCTTCAAGGGATCAGAAAAACTGTTCGAAATTCCACATAGCATTTTGTGTAATTTTTCTTTTGGAGTTGTGTGTGCCATCGAGCCACTTGCAACTCATAGCGACCCTATGTACAAGAGCTCTAAACGCTCTTCTATCCTGTGCCAACTTAGCCATCTCAAACGCACTTATTCCTACCACTCCAGTCACGGAATCGATCCGTCTCATCGAAGGTCTTCCTCTCCTTCGCCGCCCCTCCACTCTGCCAAACATGATGTCCCTCTCCAAGGACCAGTCCCTTCTTGCAACATGCCCAAAATATGTCAGACGAAGCATCAGAATCCTTGACTCCAAAGAGCCTTCCGGCTTTACCCTCTCCAGGACAAACCTGTTTGTTCTCCTAGCAGTTCATGGTATATTCAACAGTCTTCTCCAGCACCACAGCTCAAAGGCATCAATTCTCTTTTTAGCAACCCTATTCACTATCCAACTCTCTGACGCATAGCATGTAATTGCGAAAACTATAGCCCGGATCAGGTGCACCTTAGTCTCCAGTCTGATGTCGTTACTCTTCAGTACTCTTGAGAGGTCCCTCACAGGCAACTTTCCTAATGCAATTCGTCTCTTGATTTCCTGGCTGCTGTTACCAAGAGTGTTGATTGTGGAGCCAAGTAAACTAAAACTGTTAATTATCTCAATCTCTTCACCATCCATGCTGATGCTATCAGTTGGCCCAGTGGTGAAAATCTTTGTTTTCTTGATGTTGAGCTTCAGTCCATATAGGAGGCTGCAATCCTTGACCTTCAGCAAGTGCTTCAGGTCCTCCTCAGTTTCAGCAAGCAGGGTTGTGTCATCTGCATAACGTAGGTTGTTGATGATTCTTCCACCAATCCTGATGCCACATTCCTCTTTTGGAGTAATAAGTTTAATTGTCCTTAAATTCTCTAAGGTTTCCCAAACCCAGCAGTAAAGACTGAACCAAGATATATGATGTAGATGAGTGATTATATGCAAACCAATTTTTAATAAAAGAGACTGAACTGAGATCTAAGAGGTGGTACCAGGGCCTCCCCTTGCGGGTCAGAACACAGTGTAACTAGCGTTGTGTCACAGGCCCCGTCCCAGCAGGCCTAGGGCTGTGGCTGGTGGTGACCTTTGCCTATGGTTTCAGCTGCCCCATCCCTGCTTCCCCAGAGTATGGAAGGGTTGGTGACCCTGTGGGGTACTTGCTCTCTGGCCTTGTTGGATGCCCAGGCTTTAGTGCTCTTGGGACATTTCTGAGGCAAAGGCTGAAAGTGGGACTTAGCCTTAGAAGGTGCCACCAGCCCAGCCCTCAGCCTGAGCTATCTTGGGCTGCAGCAGGATACCAGGATATAGAGATCCATTATAGTTGCACTTTCTTTATTCTTTCAAAACCAAAAGAATACAGGGCAGGCACTGGCCCCCATTTCCCCCCGTTTCCAATTTTACTTGTCTTATTCTCAGTTCATCTGTATCTACCATGGACTTCATGTTTCAGAGTAAACAGACCTAGATGGAGTGCATTTGGTGTGGTTAGCTTTGGGGTGGCATGCCTCCCAAGCAGGCGTTCCCATATCGGGTCTCTCCTCTACTCATCTTGGGTTCTGGGGACTCATTGCCTTTCCCATCCTCGACCTCCCTGAGGGAGCAGTGTGAGAGGTGAGGAGCACTGACCATGCAGGTCACACACCCCTTTTCTCTTCCTGCAGTCGCCGTCATCTGTGCTGCCCCTGGTGCTGATGGTGCCTGGTGGCGGGCCCAAGTGGTTGCCTCATACGAGGAGACCAACGAAGTGGAGATTCGCTACGTGGACTATGGTGGATATAAGAGGGTGAAAGTGGACGTGCTCCGGCAAATCAGGTGAGTGAAGACTCCCCAGGCAGCCTGGTGGTCAGGAAGCCGGGTCCTGCTGGTTGGGAAATGTGTTATCTCCACACAGTTGGCTCAGAACAGACTTCTGTCCCATCCTGCTGTCTGCTGTCCTATAGCCAAATCACACTAGATTATGAATGAGGTAGAAAAGCGTGGCTGGTGAGAGAACTCCCCTAGCATCCCATGTCAAAAGAGAGGCCCTTTCCTTGGGAATTTGATGCAGGAAATGGCTCTGATACCCACCTTCTTGTGACCCAAGAGAAAGATACCACTTGAGAGCAATAGGTTTTCAAGTTTGTCCTAAGTAGCTCCTTGTCTACAGGTCAGATTTTGTGACGCTGCCATTCCAGGGAGCAGAAGTCCTCCTGGACAACGTGATGCCCTTGTCAGGTAACAGGTGGGCCTCTGGCTGGGCGGGTTGAGAGCACATCTTTCTGTTTTATTTATGTATGTATGTATGTATGTATGTATGTATGTATGTATTTTTACTTTCTTTTTCTTTTTTTTCTATATTTTATTAATTTTCATAAACATTTACAGAGATTTTGGGTTTCCATTCATTCATTGTTGCACTATTCTCTCTACCCTCCTCCCAGTTTGTTCTTGTCCAAATGCCACAGTGCTTGTCAAAGCCAGTTCTGAATCTTTCTGTTTTAGAGTGGTGTGAGCACAGATGGCTCCATGCTGAGTTTCTAACTCAGCAGGTCACGGGCCCGAGAACTTGGATTTCTAACAAGTGTTCAGGTGATGCTGATGCTCTTGGTCCAGGGACCACCCTTTGAGAACCACTGCTCTAGACTTCACCCGTGTCCCACACTTTTGCAATACCGGCACTTTATAGAATGTGGGGGGCAAAAAGACCTAGTGGCCTGGGAGACACCAACAGCTCTGCTCAGCTGTGCCATAGCTCCTGTGGGGCCCTGGAGGGACCAGACTGATGCCATCATCAGGGTTCTAGACTGTAACTTTGCCAAAGAGGGGAGGACTGGTAGTGTCATCTTGGGTAAATTATCTGGCCTCCATTTCCCTAACTTTCAAGGTCCTCGGTGGCACACACAAAGGGCAGTTCAGATGTACCAGCTGCTCCATGGGACAAGGATGGGCAGTCTCCTCCCTTGGGACTAACTGCCTCTGAAAACCCACTGGAGGGTCAGCTATGGGTCGGTTCTGACTCAACAGTACACAGCGACAACTAACTAAAGATTCAAACCCACCCAGCAGACTGCACGAGGAAGGGTTGGTGTTCTCCCCTACAGATGGCAGGCATTAGGACCCTGTGGAGCACTAACTGCCACCCTGTAACCGTGGGCTCCCCAGGAGTTGGAATTGACTCCCCCCCCCCCCCTTAAACTTTTATTAAGATTTGGGCAGGCATTACAGAGCAAGTTAGTTTCCATTCAACAGTTCACACACATTGTGTTTGTAACATGGGTTGTAATCCCTATGACATAGCTGCACTTTCCCCACTACATTCAGGTATATCCTTTCCTGGCCGGCCTGCCTTCTGAGCCTTCTCTCTGGGTGAATCCCTTCCGTTGGCCCTTGTGTAGTTGGTGTGTACATCCCTGGTGTTAATGTTCATCTTAGAGGCCTGTCAACCGAAAGTTGAGCCTCAGCGGTGACAGGTTTGAAGGGGGGTTTAAGGCTGCGGTCTGAGAGTTCCAGCCTTTTCTGTCTGACCCCTAAACCTGGTCTTTATACAATTATTTTTCACTCCCCACCCCCACCCACCCACCCACCCATTTTCTCTCCATTCTATCCAAGTCTGAGCTGGGATTGACATGACAACAATGGGGCTTTGTTACTGTTTGCTCACCCCTCTTCTATAAGACTATGAAAGAAGTTCTGGTTGTGTGGTCCGTAGCACGTTGTGCTGTGAACCAAAAGGCAGTTCCAGTCCACGAACAGCACCTTGTGAGAAAGATGGTACTCTCCTCCCATTAGGATTTAAAGCCTTGGAAACCCGATGGAGGGCTGCTCTGAGGCGGCCTTGCCACTGTGATGTTGGGGTTTGGTTTGGGCAAGAATATGTAAATTAGAACTGATCTAGAGAGGGTGATCAACAAGATGCAGGCATAGGACCTTGGTACGTGTAGCTGAAGAAGGTGTGGTTTGTTCATTCCACAGTCTGCTCTCCCACGTTTGCTCTTTCTCATTTTGTTGGTTGTCAAAGTGATTAAGTGCCTTAGAGACAATATATTCTGTCTGAACACACATTAGATAGGAAACTAGGGCACGGCTCTTTTTTAATATTCTTTCTTTGTCCAACCTTCCCCTTCATGCTCTGACCATCTTAACAGTCTGTCTAGGTCTGGCTAAAACGCATCGTAAGATTTTCACAAACTGTCTTCAACGCTCTCTTGTCTTTGTTGTGATCTTGTGTATATCTTTATAAGCCAGTATAGAGGATAGCGCCACCAGTGCCCTGGCCGCTCTGTACTTACTGCTCACAGTGGGTGACAGAGCTCCTGGCATGGGCTCAGAGTTGATCCATAGTTGACTGACTTTGGGGGAATCACCTGTTTTTTCTTCTGTTTTTGTTTTTAATTGGCAATCGCCTTTGTCTCAGATGTTTTCGCCTGTAAAACGGGAGTGAGGGAATGCTTACATCATCTCTTTGTGTTAAAGGGAAGGGACCCTTCCAGTATGCTCAGACAGCCTGCACCAAGCACAGGGTGTTGGCTAACACGTCCAGTGCCTCGATAGTAAAGCTTCTGTCCCTTTGTTCTTTGGTCCCCATGTGGGTAGCATGAATTAAGGACCTCAAGTTTACCCATTTGGAGCTATGTGGGGTGGCTGAGGCTCTCCCAGGTTCCACTGCCAGGTCGGAAGATGGATGCTACCTGGAATATACCTGAATGTCAGTGAAGGTGATGAGAACGCCACGTCCTAGTGTGCGTCTAATGTTGCCTTCCTTCTCCCAAAGATGAGGAGCACTTTTCACCAGAAGCAGATGCAGCTATGAGTGAGATGACAGGAAACACAGCATTGCTTGCGCAGGTAGGTGGTGAGGGCTAAACAGGGTCTGTCTGAGGGGCTCCTGTCTCTTCCCCTCGGTCTCCCTTGCTTTGCTTACTTACGTATCCGGGCTCCCTGAGAGCTGACCTGCGTCCCTGCCCCTAGGGTTCTGGGTTGATAAGCGGCCTTTAGGGGAGATAGTGCATGGACTTAGTTTTTAAATATCCTTGGTGATGAACTTTTGTTTTTATTTGATAGGTGACAAGTTACAGCCAGAGCGGTCTCCCTCTGATTCAGCTGTGGAGTGTGGTTGGAGAAGAAGTAAGTTCCTTTTTTCCTTCTAACTTACTGATAGGGAGCTCTGGTGGCCTAGTGGCTAAGGAGTTTGCTGCCAAACTCAGCGCAGTTCAAATCCATCTGCTATTCCTCGAGAGAAAGATGAGCAGTCTCTCCTTAGGCTGTTCACAGCCTCTGAAAACCTAGGGGTTCTCAACTAGGAGTGGCTTCCAACTCAACAGCAGTGAGGGAATTGGCTTTTCGTTAAATAGCTGATAGGCAGTAAAGGATTGAGTTGAAGGTGATTCAGGATTCTTTTCCCCTTGAACTAATCAGAGGTGGTAACTGAGCTCCTTACCCTTTCCTCCCCTCAGTGGGCCTCTGGCAATGTCTAGAGGAATGCCTGGAATGGCACAATTGCCAGGGATGCTGCCAAGCATCCTCCAATGCAGGGTACAACCACCTGCAACAGCAAGTTGCTGGGGATGGAGAGACTCCGCTGATGAACCTTCCATTAGCTTTTTCTCTTCCATTTTTACCGTATTAAAACTTAGAAAAACCAAGTCTCATGTTTTTGTGGTTAAAATTTAGATCATATCCCCGTTGGCCCAGAAAAAAGAGTCCTGCGTCTTACCCCTGGGACTTTTATAAGACTGTTACTTATAAAAGAAGCACTGATACTGGTCTGAAGTTATAAGAGTAGTACCCACGTTGCCTTGAGAATGCGCACTACACTCACGGGAATTTTCTCTTCTAGATGGTGTTGATAAACCAGTGGCTGGTAGAGCGAGGACTCGCCCAGTGGGTGGACAGCTGCTACACAAGCCTTTGACCCTCACACCTCAAACAGCTGCTACTTGAGTCTTTTGTGTACTGTTAAAGATTGAGCTTGGAACTCAAGGCAAAGACTTTACATCAGAGTAACAAAAGGTTGTCCTCCCCAGAGAGCTTTCCCCCTGTGCTGTCGTCCTACTGAGAAGACGCTTGGTCTCTAAAAAAAAGGAGAGAACTGTGTGTTCTTTTCAAAGCCATGGGATGGTATTTAATAAGCCAGTTGGTTTAACTTGGTTCCAAACTATAAAAAAAAAAACCTTACATACATTGAAAACGACCTCAACTAGGTTGTCCTATTCCCCTGCCACCCCATTCTCCATTCTCCCCATTCCCCAACCCCTCAAACCAAAAACCCATCAGTGGTATTTCTGCACTTAGCCGACAAGCAAAGCGATGTCTGGTGATTCCCCAGGAGGGTCTCTTTTACGTCACAATCTTCTACCTTCAGGGAACAAGACACGAACTGATTGTTATCAAATGACATGTATAGCTTTATGTAAGTGAATTTACAGCATATGAGTGTTTTTTATAAACTTCATCTAGGCCTCTTAGGAACACACACTTTTTTAATGGAGATGTAAATGAATAGGGAGCAGTCATCACCCTCTGGCCTTGATCTAGGGGGGTTGAGGGGTGGAACTGTTATCCTGCCAAGCCTGGCTATCAATTTGTAACCATTTTCTATTTGTGCAAACTCTGTAAATATATGTTTAAAAAAATGTAATATTTTGTACACGATACACTGGAGAACAAAGGGAAATCAAGATTCTTCCACGCCCGCTGTCACGTGTAAGCAGGACCGCAGAGGCAGCTCCCCGTTCGGGCCTGTCTGCGGACCTGCTGCGTGACTGTACAGTATAGAATTGTGACTGAGGAATTGCCTACTGTACAGATTTGTAAAAAAGCAACTCATTGAATTATTTTGCAGTGGTGTGTTTTTGATTTTTTTTTTTTTGTAAGACTGGCTTCAGCGTTGTGCAATTAAAAAATAATCAATTTATATAACTTGTATAAATTTCAGATTATGTAAATTCTAGCTTTGAGCCCATTTCTTTGATGGTAAAAAAAAGGCTCGAGGGAAGCACAGGAGTAGCTGGGTAGTTATTTGTGTAGTGAACTGGACAGTTCAACCCACAGGGTCTGTTCCCCACCCCAGGACAGATGCATTCAAAGAGGACACCAGTGGTTCTTTGAAAATGTTTGACCAGAAATTTCCATCTGTTCCTTTCCACCATCCTTGCTCCACTGCAGATAAGGAGCTCTGGAAGCAAAATCTGTAGCTAATTGCACTGCTCGCTCCGAGACTCCACCTCTCCAGGGGTTCACATTCATCGGCAGCTCCAGAGGGAGAAAGACAAGCAATCGCTTCTCTTCGATTTACTGCATCTGAAACCCAGCTGAGGGTCACTCTGCGGAGGGTCACTGAGTCAGAACTGACTCCCTGGCAGGAGTTTGAGTTTTTGTGTTTCTCCACGAGGTGGCAGCTGAACCTCCTTTCCTTCATTTAACCTCACTTAAATGTAATGCACTAGCTTCGAAAACTTCGTTTCATTTTAAAAAGCTATGTTATCTGCTATAATGGCAAAGTTATGAATATATCCATTTGAATGACGAGAGCCCCGATACTGAGCCTTAATGAGTTAATGAATGACACTGCCAGTTAAAGGTCCACTCTAACCACAGGGGTGAGCGGCCCTGGGCAGCCCCACTCCCCGTGTCTTCCTCACTTTGACCAAGGCCGCAGGTGCTGTGAACTTCCTCATCCTTCCCGTATTCCTGAGAAGTTGTGTCAGTCTTTAGAGAGCTGAGGTAGCCTGATGACCTGGAATCTCCATTCTCCTTGGGGTTTCTCCAGTCCCAGCCCAGCAGCCTCTGTGATGGATGGATTCTCATCGCTCTGCGCAGAGGCTGAGGCTTCTCTGAGTCTGACAGGGTGGCAGGGACAGCTTCCTCTTTTGACCTGGCTTGCTCACCTGTGTAATGAACACATGGTTGGGATCTTGAGATAATGATACCTACCTCAAAAGACAATGAAAGCAAAAAGCCAAGCAAGTCCTCACGACTCTCGGCTACCATTAGCACCAAGTCTCAGCAGTACTTGGGGTGATTTAGACCAAGTCAGATATTTCTCTGCTGCTTAGCTGGGTCATGTGAGGGGCTGTGGAAGCTTTGGAGAGTAGTTTAGGGAGAAAGTTTGCAGGAGTTTGGTGTATGGGTTTAGCCTTCTCACAAAGGAGTTGTTGAGAGTTTTTAAAATAAGTTTTAAATGGCAAAATATATACAACAAAGTTTGCCACTTAAACAATTTTAAGTGCATGATTCAGTGGTATGTATTTACAATGTTGTGCAGCCATCTCTACACTCACCCACAAACCCGTTAAGCAATAATTACTCCTGCCTTCTAAACCCTGGTAACTTCTAATCTACTTTCTCTATGCACTTGCTGATTCTGAATATTTCTTATAAATAGGATATACTATATTTGTCTTTTTGTGTCTGCCTTAGTTCACTCAGCAAAATGTTTTCAAGGTTCATACATGTTACGTACCATTGAGTTGGAAATGACGCATAGCTGACTCTCAGCAGGTTTTCATAGGCAGTAAATCATGAGTTGATTTATAGCTTCTACCCATGGAGCAGCTGGTAGATTTGAACCTTGTGCCTTTGGGTTGCCAGCACTACTTCTTACCACTAAGCCACCGGAGCTCTTTGTATAATGTTATTTACCATCGGGTCAGAGCTGACCCCCCTTTTCCAAATTTTCAGAGGCAGTAAATAGCACAGGAAGAGACTGCCCATCCTTCTCCCATGGAGCAGCTCGTGGATTAGAACTGCAGGCCTTTGGGATTGCAGTGCAGCTTCTTTCCAGTAGACCACCAGAACTCCCCAAATGTAGTGCACATCATATCTTCAGTCCCTTTTTTTATGGCTGAGTAATATTAAATAGCTAGACTACATTTAATCTTTTCATCTGTTGATGGACGTGGGTGACTTCTGCTTTTCTAATACTGTGAATATGCTTTAAACAGTGATGTACAAGTATCTGCATCCCTGTTAGATTTCTTGGACATTAACAGAGTAGTGAAATTTTAAGCTTTTAAGGATCCTCCAAACTTCTACAGTAGCTGACCTGTACCATAAGGATCCATTTCTGCATATCCTCACCAGTGCTTGATTTCTGGGGAGAGGGATGCTGTGGGTAATAGCCATTCTAATGAGTGTGAAGTATCCCACTGATGGGTTTTAACGTGAGATTAATCTAGTGCCAGAAGGAGAAGGAGTGAGGGGACTGGAACCCAAGGCCAGGGCTGTCTGGGGCAAAAGGGCTTCTTCCAAGGTGGTGGTCAGTGAAGAGTAGACAATGCAGTAGAGGCAGGATCCTTACATGGGTGGGACTTGGGGAGGAGGTGATGCAGGTAGGAAGGAAGAAGGGTTGTCCGTGTGTCCACAACCTTTCCCTTAGGAGCAAGAATTCCATATATTTTGGGGCAAGAAGGTGTGAGTAAGTTGGAGCTTGGTGAAGGGCAGATACATTTCTAATATATTATTTCAGAACAGAGTATTGGAAATGTTGATTCTGAGCTTTCCCCAGTACTTTCTAAAGGAATAAGTTTGCAGAGATGTCTGTAGTTCTGGAAGTCAGCTCTCCTGGCAAGTACGTAGTGGATAGATTAATTATGTGTGGGGCATGGACCATCATAAGCATGAGTTGGAAACTTGGGCTGACTTTGGAAAGACGGGGGAATGTCGGCCTTCTGAGGGTTGACGGAGGGAGGGTGTATGCTGAATACAGAAGGCTGGAATTTCCAACATCTCACTTCAAGAGCTGCATTGGGTGGGGGAGGAAGGTGGAATCATGGTGGGGCATCTCTGGACACAAAGTCACGATTAACTCCCTGTCTCACCTCAGTTAAGTCTCTTGCAGAGGCCTCAACCTTCATAAATCACAATTAATGGCGGTGCATCCCACTCAGGCATAAGAGACTAAAAATTAGAAGCTGAAGTTATGGAGTGCTGACTATGTCAGGTACTGTGCTAAGTATCTCTCACAAGGCAATGCTGAATCGTTAGGACAGTCCAGCAACAAAATAGAGGGTGGTATTGAGAATATGCACAGACCCTAACATCAATAATGTCACCACACACAGTTCATTGACGCTGGTGCCACCATTTCCACCCTCCTTTTGCAAGTCATCTCTTCCTCACTGGCATAAACTGCCCTCTTAAATTTTAGGTTTAATCTTTAAAGCTGCTGTTGTCAGTATGATCCTATAGAAATGATTCTTAAAAGAGCACAGTGCTCAAGGCAGACTTTGTTTACTAGTTAAGCTCCACTGGGAATGAGAATGCGGAAGCTGGAAGGAGAGGAAGGCTCTGGTATTGGAAAAATGGCCTTGGTGGTACATTTTTTTACAAGTTATTTTGTGATTTGAATGGAAGTTTACAGTGCAACCCTCTTTTTTTTTAACATTCTGAACCTATTTTCCATCCTGTTTTGAACTTCTGAAGTTTAGTGCAATTATTTACTATTAAAAAATTCCATACAAATTCTATTTCCTGATACTGATTCCAATCCCTCATTGTAAAAGCTCGTCCCACTTCCTCCCTGGGTTTCTCACTTTCATGTATTCTTTTGTCATAGCCTGTTTTTGCCTTCTGAACTTTATCTCTGGTCAACACTACCCTTTTGTTCTTGTATGGTCAATTGTTTTAAGGCATGCATTTTCTCCCTTGCGTTATTATAATCTTAATAATCCTGACTCTTGTTTGTTGGGATTGAGTCATAGAAGTAATTGTAGTTCCTTCTTTGAAGGATGACTAATGTACAATAATCAAATCGACCAGCTACATGTGTGGAAAGAGACAATGAGCCCTGTCTGCCAGAACCAGGCCAGGGGCTGACTGTAGAACAAACGATCATTTGCTCATGCAAGTTCAAGTTGAAGCTAGATAAAATTAAAACTAGTCTGCAAGAGCCAAAGTATTACCTGGAGTCTG